GCTGACACGCTGAGAGCTACTAGGCATTTTTAAAAATTCTTTGGTACTTTATGGAGGTGTAAATATTTGTTTTCATACATTAGGGTAATGTACTCTAACATACCCAGGAGGTTTGGAGACCTCTGACAGAACTGTTCTTTGTTTAAAGTTGGGACTTGAAGAGTAATTTTTTTTTATATCCTAATATGGCTAAAAATGACCATATCGTGTATATTTTTCATATGAACTCTGCTCTACTGGCACAGATGGATTAATTCTACTGTAAATAGCAACCGCAGTATCATCGTACTACAGGGAGCTGCTTAATGTTTCATACTGCTGGCGAAAGAAGAGTAGGTGTTTGTAAGGTGGGGGGGTGGGGGGGAGACCTTTGAAAATGGTGCAGCGTCCAGATACTCATGTTGCACAACTTTGTTCCTCTGACATAGCACACGCAGAAGAAGCCCTTCAGTAAGAGGAAAGTTAGGCCAATTTCAAACACATCTGAGAATCCCTCATTGGTAACGGTCTCCTGTTCGGCCTCTGGGGCTTTATTTCCAGTGTCTATGGAGGCATGTTTATTTCAGGTTCAGCAAGAAGCTCCTTACAGCCTTACATTGAAATTCACATCTCAGATTAGTTGTGCCATGCAAACATACTGACTTATGTATGGAAAATTTTCATTAAATATACTACACGTAGTGATTTTTAGAGCATACATACCAAAAACCCCAAATGTTTGGAAAAGCAAGTGTTTATGGGAAAAGATCTTTCCATAAAACATCAATGAGAAGTCATTAATCTTTTCTTTCTGTATTTATTAAAAGCTTGCAGTAATGTTGCTTTACCAAGATATATATGTTGAAGATGGTTGCTGAAGAAACTGGATTTGTTTTAATTTATTTAGTGAGGTACCAGGCTGTTAGGTGCTTAAGCGGAGAGCAGATTTGTTACGTGCAATAGGGAAGTGCTGGTAAAAAGATGTAACATACTGTTTCTGAACATCAGCAAGATAGACTTTAACTACTGCTTGTTCTCCAAGGAACACTGGTAGCTCTCAATTCTTGTTGACATTTGAAAGAGAATGAAATGTATATATTTACTTTTTGACTAAACAGTTGTTTTGCATAGAAATGTTGTTTTACGTAGGAATTTAATTAAAGGTGATTTTACTTTGTTGAGAGTGATTTATTATTTTCTGTTGTTGTTTTGAGGTTTTGTTGTTTCTTTTAAAGGTCAAGAACCTATCTGGAGCCAGGGTAGCATTTTAGGTAGTGGTTTGATTCTGTTGTCTTCACCCTTTGGGCTAACCTGTCTGAAAAGACCTCTTCTAGAATATTGTAAAAGTAACAAGAGGTTTGTGGTCTGGTTTTGGGTTTTTGTTTTTCTTATAATATAGTAGCATTTAAAGTGTGTCAAGTCCCCCCTTAAATTTTTTTTTTTTTTTAAATTTTTAAAGCAGATGGGAGGAAGAGTAAAAAAGAAACTTCTTTGCAGTTGACAACTCTGAAAAAAGTAATTTTGTCCTCAGGTAATTCACAGCATATGAATTTGCATAAGTAACCATTGCTGGACATGTTACGTTTTTCTGTGAGACAGAGTACTCGAACATGTCTGGTATGTCATCTTGTTGAGTGAGACACAACAATTGGGTATGTGTAGTGTATATATTGTATGAATTTTTCTGGTTTTCTTCTGATTGCATGATTATTTGATGGGTTTGCTTTCTTTACCTTGTATCATTTGATTTGTGACATGGTGACAACTGCTGCTTTGACACTCCTGCTTGTCCTGTATTTGATTTCCAAGGAAAGAGCTCCCATGGGTTTGCACCTCACCAGTGGAATTGCTTCCTTTCCCTTTTATGCTTGTATTTGTTTTATTGACAGTGGTGCGTTAAGTCATTCATGTTCTAGCAAATGCCTTTGACAGTGCCTATTCATATATTTAATATAATAGTCCAATATTCCTCTTTAATTTCCTAGAGCTATTGAAATCAGATAATTAAATAGTACAGGCTCTTAATAATTAATACGTCAGGCTATGATCATAGCTTTATTCTTTAGGAATGATTCAAGCCTAAATCTTTTAAGTATGTAATCACTATTCTACTATTATTCTTTCACAATATATTGTATTAATATAATCATGTGTCTGAGCTGACTTTAAAATCTAAAACTGAAATCCTGTGCTCACATAATGCATACCAGGTTTTGGCAAGTTTTTTAAAAATAATTTTAAAAATAACTTGTCTGGCATAATGCTATTGAGAGATGAGGGAGCAGAGCTGTCTTGATGGACAGCAAGTTTTAGTAGATGCTGCCGTACAAGATGGCAATGTTGCATTGCTGTTGGGCCTCACGGTTTACGTACAGCTGTGGGGTTTTTTATAGACACATGTGCCTTATTCTGGCCTGGCTCATGAGATAAAAGCCAGACTAAGCTCAAGGTAGTGGTTTTGTGGCCTGACCACAATACCACACTGACTGCTATTTCAGTGCACAGCTGTTCTGTTTGAGGGAGCTCTGTCTGCCACTGACTGTTGGTGATATAGTCCGGGCACAAGGTTAGTAGTGACGTTTCTGTAACTGGAATATCTTTGCAAATCAGTCACGGTAAGATCATAATCATACAATCTTAAGTGATTAAATGGACATTGGAACTGCTGATTTTTCATATTTTGGCATGTCAGTTCACAAGTTTTACTGTACTGGACTGTCAGATTTAAAATTATGCTGCTGTGATGAGCTAGTCCATCTTTCAGTGTGTCACCTTGCTTTTCCTCAGGTGATTATATGGAGAAGTTTCCCCTGGGATTGTTTGATGCAGAGGGATGGGCATGAATATATATTTCTTAAATAATGGCATGGCTTATTCTTGGGAAACCTGTGAAGGATCACAGTTTAAGAATAGCAGTCAGAGAAATGTAAAAGGTTAATTCTGATTTGCCAGGCACCGTTTGGCTTTTATGAAGCAAATGAGCGGAAGCAACAATCAAGCACCATGGAAACCTGGTTTCTCAGGGAACTCAGAATGCTTGTAGTGCAAGACTGTAAGATCTGATTTTTCGCTTTAGAAGTCTACATTTGAGGAGGAAGTCTGGATACTTCCTGGGAGTGCCCAGAACTGCTAAAGTCTGGGCAGAAGTGAGGAACCTGATAGTGGTTCATTCCTATTTGTGAATCCTGCCTAAGATTTTCTCCTGCATATCTTACCTAATGGGCTTTGCCCTGTGAGCATTCTCTGGGTGTGTATTTGCAATCTGACCACATGTACAACACGGCAAAGCAGCTCATTCTAGTTTCTGAAATTGTCTCTCTAACTCCTTTGCATAAGGAGCATTGAGTGTTTGACATAGCAGAAAGGGAGCTGAGCAGTATTGCTCAGGATACTCTGGAGTGTGGGAATGTTGCATACATGGGTCTGAATTTCTCCTGTTCAAACTCTTCCATGGGAGGGTGGGGGTGGGGTGGGGGGTAGAAAACTGACAGAAGAATGGATGACAGCTCAGTTAAAGTACTCACTAGGCATAGGAAAAAAAAAAATCTGGATTCCAGTCCCCTTAGCAACCATTTATTGGAACAAAAATGGAACAGCTCCAAAAAGGGACCAGGAAGGACAGAGAGAGTCCTTTCCCCTGTGGACTACTGGGTTGGGAACTTAGGAAGAGGAGTGATGAAAGACATTCAAACTTCCCAGCCTGTGTTCTGTTTGCTTGCCTAAATAAAAGAATTCTTAATGACCATGTGAGACAAAGTCTGCTTAGCCTGTTCCCTACCAAGTAACAAGGAATTCATCCTGCATGTAGAGTTGTGTCAGTGGGCATGTAAGGAGAAGATGCATGCTGCTAGGCTTAGGGTAATCTGCTCCAGAGGGTACTTCCACCCTTCACCTGTATTTATGAATTCCATAAAGGTAAATAGTCTGGACCTTAATGCCACCTACCGCTGTGTATTGGCTCGTCACTCTGCTGCTTCCTGAGCTTTGCTGAGCAGGTCCTTCCATGCACCGTGAAGGGAATTGAGACAGACATCTCAAGGTGTGGGTTCCACTGGTATGCTGAAACTTTGAATACTGTTTTATTTTTACTATACAGATCTTAAACCCAAAGAAGGCTTAAGTACTTTGTGAGTTGCAGCTGTCACTGCTCCTGTTAAGGAGAGGTGCTGGATCATAAGTTTAGAGTTGAAAGTCTGACAAAGTTCAGAAATTCTAGAAGGGAATTTGAATGTGATCTGCAATTTTGCAGCCAGGACAGCCTTTAGAAGCTCCCTTCCCCCATCAAATTGCATACCCATGCTAGTTAATTTTAAAATAAATAAATAGTTTAATATTCCAGACCAGAAACAACACTGAAACACACGTAGGCATTAAATACCTGTAATGCATCCAGTGGTTCTGCATGTAATATTCACTTTCTCTTTTGCAGCTCAATGGGATAATTTTGTTTCCTTGAGAGGAAAAATAAAACTCTTTGAAAATGTTTCTGAAATGATTCTCTGTTCTTAATAGCTGAGAAACTTTTAGCTCCTACTTACAAATCTTTGTTTGCAGAGTTTATGCTAGTTAAATTGGTGAATGTGCCTCCACTACATACAGTAAATATTAACTACAGTATGGTTGTAATTGCTGATGCTGCATACAGATTGTGCACACTGAAGACCCAGTCAGCCTGAACGGATCCAAGCTTTAGCATTTTTGATGCAGTCAGGTACCAACAAGGCACCCACACCAAATCTTTAATCACCTCTACGTACTTGACTGCCTGCAGTCGTC